AGTTGTGCAAAGGAACCGTCCAGTTGGATCGGTGCGCGTCAGGTGTTTAACCGTTGTGGGATCTGATAGTGAGGTGTTGGCTAGACCCTTTATATATCTTCCTTGGATGCTTTACTTTCATAGTTCCTTGATAATGTGAGTAGTCACGAAAGCGCTTGGAATTTCTCTATTCTCTATGATAGTAAAGCATCCAAGGAAGGTATATAAGGGGTCTGGCCAACACCTCACTATCAGATCCCACAACGGTTAAACACCTGATGCGCGCCGGCCCAACTGGACAGGTCCTTTGCACAACCCACCAACAAACTATTCTACCCAAGAAAATTTAAAAAATTATAATTGTCCAGTGTATTATTAAATTCTTCCCAAATTCTATTAATTATAAATGGATCTAATTTATATAAACCAAAGGAAATATTCATATTATTGTCAAAACTGCTTTTTATGAAACAGGATTCAATTATATTCCTGTCGACCATGGACTTGCTTGATACTCCTTTCTCAACTTTTTGAAAATCAATTGGATGGTTAAAATATCTTACATGAATAAATAGAGCATTGGAATCTTGTCCGGTTCTAATGCTATATTTATGCTGTTTTAATCTTAGTTCGAGATTTTTACCAGTTTGACCGCAATAAACTTTATCCCAAATTTTACAAGGAATCTTATAGACACATCCATCAGCATTTTGTGGGGAATTCTTTATCAAAAGTTTTTTTTTACTGTATCAAGATTTTTTAATACAACTTTAATATTAAAAGTCTTAAGAAGAGAAGGCATATCAACCAAATTTTCATGGTAAGGGAGAACCAACATATTTTAGTTGAATAAGGCTGGTTGTGAGTAGTCACGAAAGCTCTTGGAATTCTTCTATTTTTTCAGAGTGGTTGTTTTGTATATTCTGAAATCACCTGTTTACTGTGATCTTATTGCATTAATGAATACCACACGACTCTTCAGAATGTTCTCGATAAGCTTTCCTATTCATATACCTTTTGTTTCCCAGTTTTCTTCTGCACTGATCAAGTCCCACAAGTTAAAAATTCGTCTTAATTTTTTAAAAAATTGTTTAAATGAAAAAGTTCTGCCCAAGTGTCTTTTACCCAATATCGTTCTTGACATGAGAGATCGTCCTTTTGATGATTTTATGAGAATTATTCTTCAGAAACATATTGAAGTAACTAAAATACAGGAGAAGGAAGCATTCAAAATATTGAGGAACAAAAAATACTCTTTTAATCAGGCCATTCCATCAGAATGGAAACACAGTATGTTGGATCATTGCTATAATAAACTCAGAAGAATTTGTAATGAACTCAAAAACAAACAACAAAGAAAATTAGACATTTTAATTGAAAATAGTGATTGGACAAAGCATGCTAATAACAATTTTGTAATTAACTTATCAGATGAAATTTTAGACAAAAATACAACTGCTGCTCTAGGTTTTGGCCTAAGTTTTGCAACTTCAAAAAAACTTAATAATGTTGAAATTGCAAAAGCCTTTTGTAACTTTGAAAAATTTTCTGATTTATCCTCTGATGAAATTAATATTAGTAAAGGAATGGTATATAGCTCTATGTTAAAACCAAACATTCCCAATTGCCATCAAAGATTCTTTAAGTCTTATGATACACTTAATAACAATAAAAATTTGCGCCTTACTAAAGCAGACAAAATAAATGCAATGTAATTATGAAAGAAAATGATTACCCAAAAAAAAATGAATAATCTCTTAGATGATACTGAAACCTATTCTAAACTTAGGAAAAATCCCCTAGAAACCGTTAACAACAATTTCAATAAAACAATAAAAACTTCTACTGAAAGGCAAAGATGAATTAGTCAAACAATTTACTTCCACTAATCCATCTTTACCTTACATGTATGGACTAATAAAAACACACAAACCAGGGAATCCAGTTAGACCAATTATTAGCTCCATAGGGTCAGTTTCATATAAATTATCCAAATGGCTTGTTGATATTTTGAGCCCTATTGTTGGCAAAATTTCTAACTTTAATGTTAAAAACAACATAGACTTAGTTGATAAATTAAGCTCCTTGACTGACTTAAATGATTTTAAACATGGTTAGTTTTTTATGTTATTTCCTTGTTTACAAAAGTTCCTGTTGATGATTTATTAAGTTTCTTATCTGAAGAACTTGTTAATTATGATTTACCATTGCCAGTTCCTACTATCATTAAACTTATTAAACTTTGCATTGTTGATGCAAAATTTGTATTTAATGATAAGTTTTACACTCAGAAGTTTGGTATGGCAATGGGAAATCCTCTTTCCCCTGTTCTTAGTAAAACCCATACATGGAATTTTTTGAAACAAGGTTGCTTAACACAATCCTCCCTAATAGAGCTAAATGGTTCAGATATGTTGATGATATTTTGTGTCTTATGCCCAAAAATGTAGATATACACCATTTCCTTGGAAAATTAAATAGCTTAGCCCATTCTATAAACTTTACTGTTGAGTTTAAAGAAAATAACTCATTGCCTTTTCTAGACGTTTTAATTATTAAGGGTAATAATGAATTCAAATTTAAAATTTACAGAAAACCTACAAATAACTGTTCCTATGTCCACTATTATTCTTCGCATCGAGATAGAGTCAAACTGTCAGTTTTCTCATCAATGTTTTTGAGAGCTTTACTAATTTGTAGTCCTGAGTTCATAGATGAGGAAATATCCAAAATTTATGAAATAGGTAATGATTTAAAACACCCGAGAAATGTAATTGATAAATCTTTTAAAGTTGCTAGAAATACTTTTTACAATCCAAAAAGGGACAACCAGCCTTATTCAACTAAAAATATGTTGGTTCTCCCTTACCATGAAAATTTGGTTGATATGCCTTCTCTTCTTAAGACTTTTAATATTAAAGTTGTATTCAAAAATTTTGATACAGTAAAAAAAAACTTTTGATAAAGAATTCCCCCCAAAATGCTGATGGATGTGTCTATAAGATTCCTTGTAAAATTTGCGATAAAGTTTATTACGGTCAAACCGGTAAAAATCTCGAAGATTATAACAACATAAATATAGCATTAGAACTGGACAAGATTCCAATGCTCTATTTATTCATGTAAGAGATTTTAACCATCCAATTGATTTTCAAAAAGTTGAGAAAGTAGTATCAAGCAAGTCCATGGTCGACAGGAGTATAATTGAATCTTGTTTCATAAAAAGTAGCTTTGACAATAATATGAATATTTCCTTTGGTTTATATAAATTAAATCCATTTATAATTAATAGAATTTGGGAAGAATTTAATAATACTCTGGACAAATAATAATTTTTAAAATTTTCTTGGGTAGAATAGTTTGTTGGTGGGTTGTGCAAAGGACCTGTCCAGTTGGGCTGACGCGCGTCAGGTGTTTAACCGTTGTGGGATCTGATAGTGAGGTGTTGGCCAGACCCCTTATATACCTTCCTTGGATGCTTTACTTTCATAGTTCCTTGATAATGTAAGTAGTCACGAAAGCACTTGGAATTCTTCTATTCTTTCAGAGTGGTTGTTTTGCATATTCTAAAATCACCTGTTTACTGTGATCTTATTGCATATATATATATATATATATATATATATATATATATATATATATATATATATATATATATATATATATATATATATATATATATATATTATATATATATATATATATATGCGTGTGTGTGTGTATATATATATATGATATATATATATATATACATTATATACATATATATATATATATATATATATATATATATATATATATATATATATATATATATATATATATATATATATATATATATATATATATATATAAGATTGGAGGAACACTGCAGAAGGCCTACTGGCCCATATAGGGCAGGTTCTTATCAAAACCACCCTTACACAAAACTACCAATGAATTTACTCCCGTACCCACGACACCAATCAAACCCAGCCCCTCCCACTCATATATTTGTTCAATCTCTTTTTAAAGCTACCCAAGGTCCTAGCCTCGATCACCCTACTGGGAAGATTGTTCCACGCATCCACGACTGTTCGAAAACCAGTACTTACCTATGTCCTTTCTAAATCTAAATTTATTCAACTTAAATCCATTATTTCTGGTTCTTACCTAGTTCGACACCCTCATTACTTTATTAATATCACTTTTGTTTATCCCCCGTCATCCACTTACACACTTCAGTGATATCTCCCCTCATTCTACGTCTCTCCAGAGAGTGGAGATTCAAGGCTCTAAGTCTATCTTCATACGGGAGATTCATTTTAGTCATTCTTCTCTGTATGTTCTCCAATGAGTCTATATCCATTCTGTAGTAAAGAGACGAAAACTGAGCAGCATGATGAAAACGAGGCCTCACTAGTGATGTATAGAGCTATAAAATAACTTTTGGACTACTGCTACTTATACTTCTTGAAATAAATCCTAGTAATCTGTTGCCCTTGTTGCGCACACTAAGGCACTGCTGTCTTGGCTTTAGATTTCTGCTTACTATGACTCCCAAGTCTTTTTCACATTCTGTATGATCAAGCTCTACTTCACCTAGTTTATAACTTCGAGGGTTATTTTCATTATCAAAGACTAGTACTTTACACTTGTCCACATTGAACTTCATCTGCCATTTTTCAGACCAAGACATTAATTTACCCAAATTCTCCTGGATTTCATTGGTATCCTCCTCAGAATGAATCATACTGCCTATTTTTGTATCATCAGCAGATTTGCTCATGTCACTTGTAATTCCATCATCAAGGTCATTAATGTAAATTATGAACAACAGAGGGCCTAAAACTAATCCTTGTGGAACGCCACTAGTGACTAATCCCCATTCAGATTCTGCCCCATTAATGGAAACTCTCTTCTTTCTATTGGTAAGCCATGCCTCTATCCATGCTAGAACTTTTCCTCCTATTCCATGAGTTGCTACTTTTCTTAAGAGTGTTTAGTGAGGTACTCTATCGAAGGCTTTAATAAAATCCAAATAAGCAATATCATATTCTTTATTACTGTCTACTACCTCAAATGTTCTATTGAAGAACGTAAGTAAATTTGTCAGGCAGGAACGACTTCTCGTGAACCCATGTTGAGATTCATTAATCAAATGATGTTGTTCAAATTGACTTCTAATAATATCAACTACAACTGATTTTAACAGTTTGCCTGCTATAGACGTCAGGCTTACTGGATGGTAATTTGATGGAATAGACTTACCCCCTGATTTGAATATAGGAACCACATTAGCTATCTTCCACATCTCTGGCACAACTCTAATTTCATATATATAATTTCATATATATGCTCAGAGTATGCGGCACCTGAAAAATTCTGAGTGGGCATTGGAAAAGATGTGTGGAAAATTACAGGGTGGAGCTCAAGGTGGCTCTGATGGTGTCCCAGAGACTTGTGACTGTGAGGATGTATGGACTGTTGTGGTTTGAATGCCTGAACTCAGTGCCGGGAAGTACTGTTTAGTGTGTGTTTTGTAAATGTATCCTGTTTCTAATTTCCTTTGGAAATGGCCAAGTTCGTTTTGTTTCAGTAAATATCACGTCAGTGGATTTTCGCTTGTATGGATCTTCCCACCTACTGACTAGTCTGTTTGTTTAGTGAAAAGTACCGAATTAAATATTTAGATCCCTACATTTTGTTTCAATAATTACGATTTAGGTCCAGTATCTGTTGACTATACAAGAAATATTATGTACCTATGTATGAGGTTCACTTGACTTCTCACACTACATGCAAACACTGAACACTGGAGCATCACACAGCAAGAGTCTTAAGCTCCAACGATCTTGCAGATAGCAAATACGTCCTTCAGGATGTCGATGAAGCGATGGACGTCGTAGAAGGAGTTGTAGAGAGGCACTGGGGCGATGCGCATCACGCTGGGTCTCCGAACGTCACACTGCAGAGACAAGAGTGAGGTTTCTGAAGACTTTTAAAATCTAATGCCTACAACTGCCTAAATTTGCCCCTTTAACAATCCTCTGTTACCTCCGCGTTGTGGATATCTCGCGTCCATCTCTTTTGAGATGGAAGCGAGATATCCAAAAAGCCTTTCCATCTTCATAACCAAACTGTGTGAGATTCGTCAGGTTCTTATATTAATTAATATACTAAAGCCTGGTAGTTAAACAATTTCTAATCCAAATGTGCTATTCAGACTCTTACATCTTACTCCAAACCTTGCAAGAAACCTGTGTGATCTCAGCCCACCTTCCTGGAAGGTCACCACTCCCAGGGATAAGACGTATATGTCAACAGGTACCTTGCACACTGCCAGTCACATACACAGGGAAATAGTTGGCGAACTAGCGAAGCCATTTGACAATATAGGTCTAACTGCACAAAGTAATGAGTAAAGGGACACTAAAATCTATCATAGCTAACAATTTCAATGAAAAATGGAAAGTGTTATGCGCATCAGGACATTATGGGACTATGAAAGAGGCATAAAACTAGAAGATGATGAAGAAGTAGTAGTAGTAGTAGTAGTAGCAGTAGTAGTAGCAGTAGTAGTAGCAGTAGTAGTAGAAGTAGTCGTAGCAGTAGTAGCAGCAGCAGTAGTAGCAGTAGTAGTAGCAGTTAGTAGTAGCAGTAGTAGTAGCAGTAGTAGAAGCAGTAGTAGTAGCAGTAGTAGTAGCAGTAGAAGTAGCAGTAGTAGTAGCAGTAGTAGTAGCAGTAGTAGTAGCAGTAGTAGTAGCAGTTGTAGTAGCAGTAGAGTAGCAGTAGTAGTAGCAGTAGTAGTAGCAGTAGTAGTAGCAGTAGAAGTAGCAGTAGTAGTAGCAGTAGTAGTAGCAGTAGAAGCATAGATACAGTATGTACAGTAGAGTAGCAGTAATAGTAGTAGCAGTAGTAGTAGCATAGTAGTAGCATTAGGTAAGTAGACAGTAGTAGTAAGTAGGTAGCAGTAGTAGTAGCAGTAGTAGTAGCAGTAGTAGTAGCAGTAGTAGTAGCAGTAGTAGTAGCAGTAGACAGTAGCAGTAGTAGTAGCAGTAGAAGTAGCAGTAGTAGTAGCAGTAGTAGTAGCAGTAGTAGTAGCAGTAGTAGTAGCAGTAGTAGTAGCAGTAAGTAGCAGTAGAGTAGCATAGTATGCAGTAAGTAGTAGCATAAGTACAGTATAGTAGCAGTAGAAGTAGCAGTAGTAGTAGCAGTAGTAGTAGCAAGTAGTAGCTAGAGTAGCAGTAGAAGTAGCAGTAGTAGTAGCAGTAGTAGTAAAGCAGTAGAGTAGCAGTAGTAGTAAGAGTAGTAGTAGCATAGTAGTAGCAGTAGAAGTAGCAGTAGTACATAGCAGTATGTAGCAGTAGTAGTTAGCAGTAGTAGTAGCATAGAGTAGCAGTAGTAGTAGCAGTAGTAGTAGCAGTAGTAGTAGCAGTAGTAGTAGCGAGAGTAGAGTAGCAGTAGTATAGCAGTAGAAGTAGCAGAATAGCAAGTAGTAGCATAGTAGTAGCAGTAATCAGTAGTAGTAGCAGAGTAAGTAGTAGCATAGTGCAGTAGTATAGCAGTAGTATAGCAGTAGAAGTAGCAGTAGTAGTAGCAGTAGTAAGTAGCAGTAGTATAGCAATAGCAGAGTATAGCAGTAGTAGTAGCAGTAGAGTAGCAGTAGTAGTAGCAGTAGTAGTAGCAGTTAGTAGCATAGATAGTAGAGTAGTAGCAGTAGTAGTAGCAGTAGTAGTAGCAGTAGTAGTAGCAGTAGTAGTAGCAGTAGTAGTAGCAGTAGTAGTAGCAGTAGTAGTAGCAGTAGTAGTAGCAGTAGTAGAGTAGAGCAGAGTGTAGTAGTATAGCAGTAGTAGTAGCAGTATAGAGTAGTAGCAGTAGTAGTAGCAGTAGTAGTAGCAGTAGTAGTAGCAGTAGTAGTAGCAAGAGTAGTAGCAGTAGTAGTAGCAGTAGTAGTAGCAGTAGTAGTAGCAGTAGTAGCAGTAGTAGTAGCAGTAATAGTAGTAGCAGTAAGCATAGATAGCAGTAGTAGTAGCAGTAGTAAGAGTAGCAGTAGAGTAGCAGTAGTATGCAGTAGTAGTAGCAGTAGTAGTAGCAGTAGTAGTAGCAGTAGTAGTAGCAGTAGTAGTAGCAGTAGTAGTAGCAGTAGTAGTAGCAGTAGAGTAGCATAGTAGTAGCAGTAGACAGTAGTAGCAGCAAGTACAGTAGTAGTAGCAGTAGTAGTAGCAGTAGAAGTATGCAGAGTAGTAGCAGTAGAGTAGCAGTAGTAGATAGCAGATGAAGTGCTAGTAGGCAGTAGTAGTAGCAGTAGAGTAGCATAGTAATAGAGTACTAGTAGTGCATAGCATAGTAGTAGCAGTAGAGTAAAGTAGTAGCTAGTAGATAGTATAGCAGTAGTAGTAGCAGTAGTAGTAGCAGTAGAATAGCAGTAGTAGTAGCAGTAGTAGTAGCAGTAGTAGTAGCAGTAGTAGTAGCAGTAGTAGTAGGCAGTAGTAGTAGCAGTAGTAGTAGCAGTAGTAGTAGCAGTAGTAGTAGCAGTAGTAAGTAGCAGTAGTAATAGTGTAGCAGTAGAGTAGTAGTAGCAGTAGTAGTAGCAGTTAGGAATAGATAGTATAGCAGTAGATAGTAGCAGTAGTAGTACGAGTTAGCAGTAAAGTAGCAGTAGTAGTAGCAGTAGTAGTAGCAGTAGTAGTAGCAGTAGTACAGTAGTAGCAGTAGTAGTAGCATAGAGTAGCATAGTATAGCAGTAGTAGTAGCAGTAGAGTAGCAGTAGTATAGCAGTAGTAGTAGCAGTAGAGTAGAGTAGAGTAAGTAGCAGTAGGTAGCAGTAAGTAGCAAATATAGTAGCAGTAGTAGTAGCAGTAGTAGTAGCAGTAGTAAGTAGCAGTAGTAGTAGCAGTAGTAGTAGCAGTAGTAGAGCAGTAGACAGTAGAGTAGTAGTAGCAGTTAGTAAGTAGCAGTAGTAGTAGCAGTATAGTAGTAGCAGTAGTAGTAGCAGTAGTAGTAGCAGTAGTGAAGTAGCAGAGTAGGTAGTAGTAGCAGTTATAGTAGTGAGCAGTAGAGTGCGTAGAGTAGCATAAAGTAGTTAGCTAGTAAGTATAGTAGACAGTAGTAGCAGATAGTAGCAGTAAGTAGTAGCAGTAGTATAGCAGTAGTAGTAGCAGTAGTAGTAGCAGTAGTAGTAGCAGATAGTGCGTAGTAGTAGGAAGTAGCAGTAGTAGTAAGCAGTATAGAGCAGTAGTAGTAGTATAGCAGTAGTAGTAGCAGTAGTAGTAGCAGTAGTAGTAGGCAGTAAGATAGTAGCAGTAGTAGTAGCAGTAGTAGTAGCAGTAGTAGTAGCAGTAGTAGTAGCAGTAGAAGTAGCAGTAGTAGTAGCAGTAGTAGTAGCAGTAGTAGTAGCAGTAGAAGTAGCAGTAGGAGCAGCAGAAGTAGTAGGAGTAGCAGTAGTATTAGCAGTAGTAGTAGCAGATAGTCAGTAGAGTAGTATAGTAGCAGTAGTAGTAGCAGTAGAGTAGCATAGTAGTAGCAGTAGTAGCAGTAGCAGTAGTAGTAGCAGTAGTAAGAGTAGTACAAGTTAGTAGTAGCAGTAAGTAGTAGCAGTAGAGTAGCAGTAGATAGTAGCAGTAGTAAGCATAGAGTAGCAGTAGTAGTAGCAGTAGTAGTAGCAGTAGAAGTAGCAGTAGTAGTAGCAGTAGTAGTAGCAGTAGTAGTAGCAGTAGTAGTAGCAGTAGTAGTAGCAGTAGTAGTAGTAGCAGTAGTAGTAAGTAGACAGTAGAAGTAGCAGTAGTAGTAATAGACAGTATAGTAGTAGCAGTAGTAGTAGCAGTAGTAGTAGCAGTAGTACAGTAGTAGTAGCAGTAGTAGTAGCAGTAGTAGAAGCAGTAGTAGTAGCAGTAGTAGTAGCAGTAGTAGTAGCAGTAGTAGTAGCAGTAGAAGTAGCAGTAGTATTAGCAGTAGTAGCAGCAGTAGAAGTAGCAGTAGTAGTAGCAGTAGTAGTAGCAGTAGTAGTAGTAGTAGTAGTAGTAGCAGTAGAAGTAGCAGTAGTAGTAGCAGTAGTAGTAGCAGTAGTAGTAGCAGTAGTAGTAGCAGTAGTAGTAGCAGTAGTAGTAGCATAGCAGTAAGTTAGTAGCAGCAGTGAGTAGCAGTAGTAGTAGCAGTAGTAGTAGCAAGTAGCATAGTAGTAGCAGTAGAAGTAGCAGTAGTAGTAGCAGTAGTAGTAGCAGTGTAGAGCGTAGTAGTAGCAGTAGAAGTAGCAGAGTAGTAGCAGTAGTTAGTATAGTAGTAGTAGCAGAGTAAGTAGCAGTAGTAGTAGCAGTAGTAGTAGCAGTAGTAGTAGCAGTAGTAGTACATAGTAGTAGCAGTAGTAGTAGCAGTAGTAGCTGTAGTAGAGCAGTAGTAGTAGTAGCAGTAGTAGTGTAGCAGTAGTAGTAGCAGCAGTAGTAAGCAGTAGTAGTAGCAGTAAGTAAATAAATACAGTAGCAGTATGTAGCAGCAGTAGTAGTAGTCATTAGAAGTAGCAGTAGTAGTAGCAGTTGTAGTAGCAGCAGTAGTAAGTAGTAGAATAGCAGTAGTAGTAGTAGTAGTCAGTAGTAGTAGGTATAGCAGAGTAGTAGTAGCAGTGTATAAGTAGTAGTAGCAGTAGTAGTAGGCTAGTGTAAGTAGTAGCAGCAGTAGTAGTAGCAGTAGTAGTAGCAGTAGTAGTAGCAGTAGTAGTAGCAGTAGTAGTAGCAGTAGTAGTAGCAGTAGTAGTAAAAAAGGCAGTAGTAGTAGCTAGTAGTAGTAAGTAGCAGTGTAGTAGCAGATAGTAGTAGCTAGTAGATAGTAGTAGCAGTAGTAGTAGCAGTATATAGCAGTAGTAGCAGCAGTAGTAGTAGCAGTAGTAGTAGTCAGTAGTAGTAGCAGTAAAAAGTAAGTAGTTAGGTATAGTAGCAGTAGTAGTAGCAGTAGTAGTAGCAGTAGTAGTAGCAGTAGTAGTAGCAGTAATAGTAAAAGTCTTGCAGAGAGCAAACACTTCCTTCAAGAATAAGATCTGACACACAAAAGAAGGTATTCTAAAGGCAATATCTAACAAAAGTAATAACTGACAAACCATAAATCTGTCAACTTGTAATTATAGATATATGGGAATTCTATAATGAAGATACACAAGCAGCAACTGCAAACTTTCAGTCACTTTGCCTTTGCAGCTAACTTTTTGAAGTCTGAACATTAGACTTAATCATAATAATAAAAAAAAACCTGCCGATGAGGCGAGAAGTTGTCCGAAATAAGTTTCCAAATTTCTGCTTGTTAATCTTTGTCAGCAACAGTTCGCTTAATGCTCGCTTATTAAACCGGATTAACTCTACGTTTGTTGGTGAAGTTGAGAAAAGGGATATTATTAACATAAGATAAGATTTCTTTCGGATTTTTAACCCCGGAGGGTTAGCCACCTAGGATAACCCAAGAAAGTCAGTGCGTCATCGAGGACTGTCTAACTAATTTCCATTGGCGACCCACACCAGTCGACTAACACCCAGGTACCTATTTGCTGCTAGGTGAACAGGACAAGTGTAAGAAAACGTGTTGAAATGTTTCCACCCTCCGGGAATCGAACCCGGGCCCTCCGTGTGTGAAACGGGAGCTTCAGCCACCAGGCCACCGGGCCATCTGTTACTGTTACTGTTGTTACATGGCATCTATAGTCGACTCACCATTACACCCCGTTTTTGGATTTCCTCGTGAACTTCATGGAGGTTTATAGAGAAGGAGAGAGAGAGCTGAGAGCCTCGCTGCCTCACATCGTCTGGGGTGATGATGGTGACCTCGGGAAACTGCGTCTGCCCGCTGCGGAGGTAGGTTTTAATCAGCAGCTCCAGGTACCCCGTCAGGAGGAACTGCTTCTGCAAGAGTCGCTCCATCTTCGCTTCTTCGAAGATCTGAGGGAGGCAAAATGTGTGAATGTAGATATTTAGGCTCTCATTCAGGAGAATTAAAGATGTAATAAGTGGAACAGACTGTCGTGTAGTGTCACTGAAGCGACCACTTAAAGTGGGAAATTAAGAAATAGTAATAATGTTTGTAGAATTACCGTCGCCTTAGTTGAACATATGTCCTTTACACCTAACAATAAAAAAATAATTCAGGTTAAACACTAAACCCGTGTGGGTCGTTCAGGGCAAGACGTGGTGGAGGTTCGATGCTCTGCTGAGTGAGAAACAGATGCACTTTCTATTTGTACTCACTTAAATCAATATGAGAACTTAAGAATATAAGAAAGAAGGTTCACTGCCGCATGCCTGCTGGCCCATGCTAGACAGGTTCAACTCACACCCACCCAGACCTACTCATGTACTTGTTTAACCTATTTTCGAAGCGTACACGAGGTTTTAGCTTCAATAACGCTACTTGGGAGTTTGTTCCACTCGTCCACAACTCTATTACCAGACCAGTGCTTTTTAAATCTTTTTCTTGTATATTTTTTTTTAAATTTGAACCTATTACTGCTATTCCTGACCTTCGGTTACATACTTTTAGCACTTTATTTATTTCCCCCTTTATTC